TGAAATGATCTTTTTAACATGTGATAAATGCACCCAAGTATTTCTTTCAGCAATTTTAATTGCAGTTGGAGTGTTCAACAAGACCTGGAATGGTCCTTCCCACTTGGGTGAGTGCCAGTGTTTCCTTTTAATGCTGCGGACAAGCACCCAGTCGCCTGGTTCAACCAGCAGGGGTTCCTGTAAAGCATCAAAAGGTTCTTCATTAGTAGTTTTCTCCTGTCTTTTCTCCAGGGCCTTTCTCATGTAGTCTGCCAGATTTCCCTCATTTTCCACTTCCCATTCATTTYTGAAATATGGCAGTCTAAATGTTCGCCCATGGAGAATCTCAAAAGGTGTCAGACCCCTTGTACTTGTTGTGTTCATAAACACAATTGTTTTGTATATTAAGTTCAAATAAAGAAATTGTAACAAAATGTAATTGAAGTAGTCATTGAGAAACTACTGAAAAAGGTATTGAACTATTTACAGTTGGTTTTATTATTTTGTAAAAAAAATACATTAAACAGTTTAAACAGAACAAAAACAAATAACTATTAACATTATTGAACTATACAGGGCTGAACAGAGAGTCCCTGACAGTGCTGATAAAGAGATGGGCTGCCACCAAAGATGACCCTGGTTTCCCTCTTCAGCAGGACATCATCTGGGTGGACTGCAGAGCTGTTGACCTGCCATCATTCCACTGTCCACCGCTTTGTCCATGAGCCGGGGTTGCAGTGCTGGCAGACTCGACGGCTGCCGTGTCACTGGAATGATTTAAGAAAGTGTTACTAATAGAAAATTTTAGGTTAACATCAGTTACTGCTGTGTGTTTTACTTGCCTCAACAATAGTCATGATTCACTGGTGCAGAAACCTCTGCTGCTCTCTGGTTCCTCCAGACAGCCCCAYCTGCAGCTTCCTGGTCAGCCTCCTCCTCATCCTCAGGCTCGTCCTCTGGGGCCATGATGTCACCAGCCCCAAGGCAGATGTTATGGAGGACGGCACATGCTGTTATGACCTGAAAATGTACAATTTGTCACTGTAAACAACTGTCATGACTCTGATAAAACAGTTTTTGTTACTTTATATTATAAGGTCATACAGTACATGAGGGGTGAAGGTGGGGTGTACCTCCAGCATTTGCAGGAAGATGACTCTAAACATGCTATTCATCTTCTGCAGTACTGTGGTCTTATATGTAAAGAAAATACATCAGAACATTCACACGTATAATTCTTATGATTTGTTTGAGTGTCATAAATTTCTTTAAATGTTACTACTTGTTTAGATACGTTTCTGACATTTCCCAGAATGTTGAAATTCTGACCCTAATCTTATTCCTAATTGTCTCATAATTAGGAATAGGTTTAGGACCAGTGTTAAATTTAATGTCAATTATTTTAGTGACATTTAAATGTAACAAGTACAAGTACATTACAAGTAGTTCCATATAAATGTAACAAGTACAAGTACATTACAAGTAGTTACGTTTAAATGTAACAAGTACAAGTACATTACAAGTAGTTCCATATAAATGTAACAAGTACAAGTACATTACAAGTAGTTCCATAT